CTTGGTCAGGTCGGCAGAGCTACCAATGTAAGGGTGGACCAACGTCACGTCCGCCATCAAGCCCTCGTACTGCTCGGACCCTCGATCGCGGATTCCAGGGATGTGGATATCGCCCTTCATCTTGCGGCCATGAGGATGGGAGGGTACCTGCCGTCGAGAACGAGGATCCCCCACTGTATCGATGACGCTCTGAAGACCAGCTTCGTTCAGCATCGACCGAATCGTACGAGTAAGGTTGTCATGCGCCGGCCAGCAGTGCTGGTTCTTTTCGGGCTTGTGTGTTGTGTGTGTTTGTGCAGCTTCTCGCTGTGGACTGTGTACCTGCCGGTTCAGCTTGTTCCTGCTTTGTTTTGCTTGAGGCACTTTTTACCTTCTGCCAGTAAATCCTATACCTAGTATCGCGTCTAGGATTTACTGATAAAAAGTGCCTCAAGCAAAACAAAGCAGGAACAAGCTGAACCGGCAGGTACACAGTCCACAGCGAGAAGCTGCACAAACACACACAAAACACAAGCCCGAAAAGAACCAGCACTGCCTAGTAAATCGGACTACTCTCAGAGGAGTCACATTGCGCTGCGGAGGAATGAATTGCTCTGCCAGTAAATCCACTTATCTGCTCATGAGACGAGTCGACGAGAGCAGCCGGGGCAGGTGGGATCGCCGCGCCATCTCTCAGTCGGCTGCCTCCGGGTATCGCGTCTAAGGGATGTTATTCCTCCTGCATGCTCCTGCTGCTTGTTGCTTGATTGCTTGACCCTTAGGCTGCTTGTCTGCGCGGCTTCTCGCTTGGGCTGGCGATGCCGCGTCTGGGTGCCAGCAGTGCTGGTTGTTTTCGGGCTTGTGTTTTGTGTGTGTTTGTGCCGCTCGCTGTGGACTGTGTACCTGCCGGTTCAGCTTGTTCCTGCTTTGTTTTGCTTGAGGCACTTTTTATCTTCTGCCAGTAAATCCTATAGGATCCATCTGCAGCCGTGACGGCGGCGACGCCGTATCAATGCCCAGGGACCGCCAGAGTACCACGCGAGGAATCGAGCGATAGCGGTATAGTAAACAGCTGAGTGTATACCTTCACAGGGCGTGAACTCGTCCCCTCCCCGACTATGGGGAAGCTCCCGCTTGAACCTTCCTCCCCGGCATCGGTCGGGTCACGCCGGTCCTTGGGCATTGCCGCGGCGTCGCCGCCGTCACGGGCGGCTACCACTGACTTGGCTACCGCTGACTCGGAGGCTAGCGAGGAGGACTACCTCGAGCGGTACCGTGTTCATGTGTCCAGCCTCCCTCCGTCCGCTGCCCCAGGCGGACCCCCGGGCAGCGCCGGCTCCTTGTCGGCGGCTGCCCTTTCTCCGTCCGCGGCCGCCCGCTTTGTGGCGGCAGCGGACGTCTCGACTGACAGTGGTCAGTCGGCTGCCTCCGGGTATCGCGTCTAAGGGATGTTATTCCTCCTGCATGCTCCTGCTGCTTGTTGCTTGATTGCTTGACCCTTAGGCTGCTTGTCTGCGCGGCTTCTCGCTTGGGCTGGCGATGCCGCGTCTGGGTGCCAGCAGTGCTGGTTCTTTTCGGGCTTGTGTTTTGTGTGTGTTTGTGCAGCTTCTCGCTGTGGACTGTGTACCTGCCGGTTCAGCTTGTTCCTGCTTTGTTTTGCTTGAGGCACTTTTTATCTTCTGCCAGTAAATCCTATATCTCTCGCAAACTCTAGCAGGTCGGGGTGTGCGAGTTTTGCCAGCGGTGGTACTTCTCGAGGGCCAGGCCGGACAGAGAGGTCAAAGCGACGAATTTGTGATTGGACCCGCGGGAGAAACGGAGATGACCCCTGGAGGAAGAAAAAGGAGCTTCTGGAGATGGCTCGCCCTCACCAGCGTCTTGAACATGAAGCCATGCTGGACGAGCCCGAGCTGCGAGAGCTCTTCGTTGAGGCTGGAGACCTTCGCTCGGAGCTGACTAGCATGAATTCCATCCGTGCCGATGGGAAGGCCCCCAAGTGTAATCCCGCCGGAAAACTCGACACCACTGGGGTCCTTGCTGCTGGTCCGAGCTCGCCTGCTTCCGCTTTGTTTTGCTTGAGGCACTTTTTACTTCTGCCAGTAAATCCACTGCCAGTAAATCCTATATATTGACTATCCTCCCCGGCATCGGTCGGGTCCCGCCGGTCCTTGGGCATTGCCGCGGCGTCGCCGCCGTCACGGGCGGTGTTGGTTTGGTTTCGGCTACCGCTGACTCGGAGGCTAGCGAGGAGGACTACCTCGAGCGGTACCGTGTTCCTGTGTCCAGCCTCCCTCAGTAAATCCTATATCGCTCCGTCCGCTGCCCCAGGCGGACCCCCGGGCAGCGCCGGCTCTCGGAGTCCTTGTCGGCGGCTGCCCTTTCTACGTCCGCGGCCGCCCGCTTTGTGGCGGCAGCGGACGTCTCGACTGACATTGGTCAGTCGGCTGCCTCCGGGTATCGCGTCTGAGGATTTTTTCCTCCTGCATGCTCCTGCTGCTTGTGCTGATGCTGATTACCTCTGCCAGTAAATCCACTAACACCACGCTTGACCCTTCGGCTGCTTGTCTGCGCGGCTTCGCGCTTGGGCTGGCGATGCCGCGTCTGGGTGCCAGCAGTGCTGGTTCTTTTCGGGCTTGTGTTTTGTGTGTGTTTGTGCAGCTTCTCGCTGT